TGTTTCAGACCGACCATTATGTGTCTCCTTTCAAACAACATAGTGACACCCAAACACATAGACAATACAACAGCTTTAAAACAATATGGCATTGGTTCTCAAAATGAATGCTGTCAATTTGCTACATGTCTGCGGTTGAGTCAATATTTGGCAAATAGCAAGTATATTGGATAACATTGAAATTGGCTGGATTAGATCTCCTGTCTGTAAAGATAGCTATTATATTTCTTCCAAGCAATTTATCTGTAGAATGAATAAGTGGGTTATTTAGCAGCAGCACACTCTGAGCCACCTGATTTTCCTACCTTTGCCACTCCCTGTGACTCCTGTGTACAGAATCAGAAAATCTGCTCTTCCAGAGTTTAATTGTTTCAATGTTCAATTAATCCCATAATTGCTGTGCTAACCCTTGCTGATTCATTTTAATTTTTCCTGGCAAATACCTGCTAGCTCTTTCTCACAGAGTTGATGAATCCATAGCTGGTGTTAAGGTTTCACAGGCTTCACAAACAACAAGGGGGATTTTTAAAAAAGTTTTGCTACCAATTTCACTCATCTTTTTCTGAACAGAATGCAAGGTATGTAGTGCAGGAAGGAAAAGCCTGGCAGCTTTGGTTTGTGATTGATTTCCTGTCTGTTTTAACAGCCCCCTCTGACAACATTACAGTCAGTTTTGGGAAACTCACCCACATTCTCACCAAGCTTTGAGTGTGGAAATCCCTGGTCAACTATTTTAACAAAGTCCTTAAACTGAGAAGATCAAGAACACTTACATTCTCAATTATGTTGTTCGAAGAGGCAATTGGGAAAACAGCGAATGGGAAAACAGAAAGGAATATGGCAGGAGAGGAATGGGGGTATCTCTCAGCAAAACAACTTGTTATCATATCTCTTAATATTGAGAGAAAGTGCAATGGGTGGAGATTTCATTGGTTGATAAAGGAGTTTCTCAGGCAGGTAGATTTTGAGTATAATTAGACATTTTAACAAATAATGATGGCATTAATACCAGGCATCCAGTGAATTCATAGCTTGTGTGTACTGTGTAGTTTTCGATGTGCCCTTGATGTCTTTATTCTTTGTATTTGTTGACGGCGTCCAAAAGTGTTTGTGCCTCATGGTAGAAGCCACATGACAACAGCAGATCAGGAAGGAAATTTCTACATCATTTCATTTCAATCCAAACATTCTCCTTGTCCCAACAAGCAAAACAATTTGCATGCGTAATTTTTAACAATGAGTTAACCAAATTATGTACAATACAAATAACAGTTCTCATGTATGGGCAATTGTTTATCATTTTAGCTATTCGCACTTTCTCCGTTTAGTTGTATACATGACTTGCATGGTCTTTAAATAGTTTGTGATAGCATACATGCAGATTGTCATCTTTTTCTCCAAAATCTGCTGGTTCAATTCAGTGCTTTAATTCAGCTTCGAAATATTCTCAGTAAACGTTGCTAATTTATGCCATTACCTTAGATACCTCTTTACATCAGTTGTGGCCGGCAAAGCAATTTTGTTTCATTTTTTTGACATTGACATCAATTTTCCAGTGTGGCCCTGCAGTCAGACTTTCTCTGTACAGGGCTATTTTTTGTCCATCAATTAAAGTGACCTGTGAAACATTGCAAACTTCTGAAACATTTGTGTTCATTAATGAGTCCGAGCTTTTGACTTCCTTTTGCTGAGATGAGTGGTGTTAGTTTCGTGCCTAATACTTGGAATTCCAGAACTTCAGTCTTGTTGTTGCACTGGGCTATAAGAGCAGTTTGTTCTCCAGAAGTGAGCATTGATCTGTCACAGAGACTCCACCTTCCCTTTGAAGGTTTTACTTTTGGGTTGCTATCAGGTGTGACTTGACACCAATCTGAAAAGCTCAAGATGTTGCAGGAAGTAACAATCTGTAAGGTCACGACATATTTATTTGACTTGATATGTTGTTTCCATTACAATAGCTACAAACCATTTTTCTCTTTTAGACTTGACATTACCCAACTCTTTAATATGTAAGTGGAATGATCTAAATCATCGTTCAACAATTCGCAAGTAGCCACATTTGATTCATCTGAATCATCACTCAACAAGCTTCTCCATAATTTTTGCAGGCGTAGTTTTCTGTTTGCTAGCTAAATACTGACATGCAAAGGGTTTTAGGTTTTTGCAGTTGAAATACTGTTTTCACCATCCTGGATATGCTTTCTTTTGTTTTGTTTGATAATTTCTGCAATATTTGCAGCTTGTCCTTCAACTTTCATCTCTCTACTGGCCTTTCAGAGGATACTCGTTGCCTTTATCCACAGTTATGCTTGAAAGGTCTAGGTTGTTTTTTGACATTATGGACATGTCTGAGCTACTTATCAAAATTGTTCACAGGTCTACGCTGTTTCTCCACATTATTGAAAAAAAATTGGATTTATGGTAGGAAACAGAGGGTGCTGGTGGAGAGTTGTTTTTCAGACTGGAGGCATTGTTCCACGGGGATCAGTATTGGGTCCATTTTTGTTTATCATTTATATAAATGGTTTGGATGAGAAAATAGGAGGCATGGTTAGTAAGTTTGCAGATGACACCAAAATTGGTGAAGAAGGTTATCTAAGATTACAAAGGTATTTGATCAAATGAGTCAATGGACTGAGGAGTGGCAGGTGGAGTTTAATTTGGATAAATGTGAGGCATTTTGGTAAAACAAACAAGGGCAGGATTTATACAATTAAATGCAAGGCTCTTGGCAGTGTTGTAGAGCAGAGAGACCTAGGGGTTCAGGTAAGTAATTCTTTGAAATTTGCATCACAGATAGACAGGGTAGTTAAGAAAGCGTCTAGCACGCTTGTCTTCATTGCTCAGATTTTTGATTAAAGGAGTTGGGACGTCATGTCTTAGGTTGTATAGGATGTTGGTGAGGCATCTTCTGTGCGCACTTCTGTCATAGTATAGGAGAGTTCAAAGAGCCATTGAGTCATACAGCACGGAAACAGACCCTTCAGTCCAACCAGTCCATGCCGTACATAATCCCAAACTAAACTAGTCCCACCTACCTACTCCTGGCCCATATCCCTCCAAACATTTCTTATTCATGAACTTATACAGATGTCTTTTGAACATTGTAACTGTACCTGCATCTTTCACTTCCTTTAGCAGTCCATTCCACATTCTAACCACTCTCTTTTTAAAAAAGTTGCCCCTCATGTCCTTTTTAAACCTTTTTACTCTCACCTTAAAATCTTGAAATCTCCCATACTAGGGAAAATACACTTGCCATTCACCTAATCTATACCCCTCATGATTTTATAAACCTCTATAAGGCCACACCTCAACTTCCTATCTCCAGTGAGGACAGTTCCAGCCTATTCAGCCTCTCCTTCATTCCTGGCAAATCTTTTTAGAACTCTCAGCAACTTGAAAATTTTATAAAGTTACGAAGCAGACTCAGGGATGAGTTCACAGTACTGTCTATCCTGGGCTGGGACTAACCTGTATACACCATGAGTAGTGGCTCTATTTTAGTGTCCAACAATAAACAACATTCCATTCCAGTTGGGCTTCTGGCGTTATTGCAAGTACAGTCAGGAATGTAAAGATAAACAATTTAAAAGTGCTAAGTGTCCTTGATTTGTTACAACCTGAAATCACGGCAGTGGCAGAACCTATAGGTATCTCTGAGTTCTTGATGTGTGACTGTTTCCCTGATATCCTTTGTTCTGAGATGATGACACTCACAGGGAGAAATTCTCCCTCTCTGCTGCTCAAATGTGTCCGTTGAAATAACTTTGAGTGTGTATTCCTGAATTTAGCTTCCCTGTCTTTTCAAGTTAGCTTTCTAGCAGCTGAGCCTTTCATTTCTCAATATGTGAAATTATTGTACATGTGCAAATTAAACAGGAGATACAAATTTAGTTACTTTTGATGTTTTTAAGTAAAAATGGTAATTTCAGTACAGATGGTTTTGTTTTACGTGCATCTCCTGAAGCTTGGTTCAAACTGTCATCAGGTGATCTCGGCAGTTATTTTAGATCCATGTCTTTTCCTTGCTAAAAAAACATCTTCATCCATGAAAGGTCTCAGGCATAACCAACAAATGCAAGAAATTAAAATTTGATAATCCCTATTTATGACTGTCATAATAGGATGGAATAGTGGCTATGTTACAAAGGCCAGGGAAGGAGGGAAAATCAAAGGTCGGGGAGTAGGATTGTATTACAAATCCTGATGGGGTTATGTGGGCTCTGACATCCATAAAGGAGGAGAGCCCACATTTGTGCCAATTATTTGAGGTTTGAGACCAGTTTTCTCTTGTCAGTATCTTCTTCGTTCTAATTTCTAATTAACATACCAAATAAAATAGAAACGAAATCAAAAATATGTGGAGGTAACACAATGCAGAGTCCTGTATTTCACACAAAATGAAAATGGAAAAGTGATTCTCTTTGTCTGGAGTTCATGTTCACTTGGCTAACATAAATTAGGCTGCTGTCTGATCTGCTTCCCTTTTTTTTGTTGTTTGTCACATCATTCAGCAAAATTAAAACTGTAAAACATTTTTGGGGCTTTTGTGTTTAGAAGGTGTAAAGCTATCACAGGAAACTGCAACTGTATGGCTGTAACTGTTTTTATCCCCCTTTAGGTGTTATTTTACTAAAAGAAACACACCTCAGAAAGATACTTTTTTTAAAATTCAATATCTTCTGATATGGCAGGGAAGTCAAGCAGAAAATCTTTCACTTGAGTTACTATTGATGGAAAAGGAAAGCAAGATGATGAATGAACATGATTCAGTATGTTTATTTTCATCTCTGTCACCTTTGTTACCTCCTGGTTTTTCACATTGAGATAAATTTATAGTTATTGCTATTACTTAGGTAAAGAATGACGCATCTAGTTTCATAGTTTTGTAGAAATGTTGGTCAATTCTCAGATGCAATTGTCCTGATGAGATAGAAGCCACGCAAAACTATTTTAAGATATTGTGGGCAGGAGGATGATTACGTCAGTCAAAGTCAATGTTCATCGGAAGGAAATAAGATTTGATGAATGTTCGAAATGATAATACCTTAGGTGGAAAAACGACAGAAATGTAAGTGTTCTCCATTATTTGAACATGCTTAAAATTTATAGGCATCTGTATTTTATTCTTAAGTACTAAATAGTTGAATGAATCTATAAAAAAGCTCAATTCCTATCTTTGTTACATTTTTCATTGGTATACTGAGTTTACTTATATCAATACCCTAAATATTATTGCTGTTAAGGTTAGAACTATATGCTATTCACTGTTCTTGATATAATTAATTAATGTTACTGTTCTTGTTTGTATAACAATTTCAACAAATATCTCATTTTCATGAAACCAGATTAAGGCATTAAAGACGTACTGTGTTTAGAAATTGAAAATACTTGATGAATTTATTTATGCTTATAAAAGCTATTGGAAATAACATTTGCCCACATTGTTGTGTGACTAATCTGTGAAGATACTGTACAAAAATGTTACATCGTGTTCCAGCTCTTCATTCTTCCCACAAAAAAGTTGCCAGAATATTTTTTATCTTAATGGCAATGCCCCTTTAAACAAACAGATCACCATGAAGCTGATAGATGTTATTCTGACTCAGTGATGCTGGAACCATAGCAAACTGAAAGCATCACTTTTTGGTGATGACCTTGTCTGATAGTTCCCAATGCCAAGCAGCTTGCTATATCCAGAAGTGTCTTGGAATTTAAGATTGGAATGTTCAATGCCAGAATTATAAGGTGGCTATTGGCATTCCATAAATCACTGTGGTCTATATCTTAAGGTAAAAACCCTTTTGATAGTACTACACAGGTAAAGCACCATTTTGACATAAAGGGGTTGTATATCCTAATGTTGTTAGTGATTTTCTATATGTTAGCTTCCATAACATGTTCCACAGAGAAACAAGTTCGTATTGAGTCAGATATCTAGAAGCTTATTAACAACTAACTATGTACACTAAAATGACATCTCAGGCATTTAGATACAGTCTGTTATATGCTTACTTAGAAGATTATTATTTTACATCTGTAGTTGACTGACTGCGAATGAACTGTATGGATAATAAGATCCTCTTACAATGTCACATGTTGTAATGTCATAGAACAGTACAGCAGAGGATCAGGCCCTTCAGCCCACTACATCTGCGCTGACCTTGATGCCATTTTAAATTAATCCCATTTGCCTGTACATGGTCCATATTCTTCTATTTTCTAACTGTTCATGTGACTGCCTAAATGCCTCTTAAAGTTTGCTAATGCATCTGCTTACACCACCTCTTCTGGCAGCACATTCCACACTCAGTGTAAAAACACTTTCCTCGCACATCTCCTTTAAATGTTTCCCTGCTCACTTTAAACCTTTGCCTCCTAGTAATTGACATTTCCACCATGGGAAAAAGACTCCGACAAACCAGCCTGCCCCATGCCTCTCGTCATTTTATATACTTCTATCAGGTTGACCCTCAGCCTCTGATGCTCTAGCAAAAACAATCCAAGTTTTCCAATCTTTCCTTAGAGCTAATGCACTCCAGTCCAGGGCAACTTTCTGGTAAACTTCTTTTGCACTCTTTCCATAGCCTCCATATCCTTCCTAGAGTGTGCTGACCAGAACTGCAACCAATACTCCAAATGAAGCCTAAGTAAAGTTTTATACAGCCTAGCTGTCTGAAAGGTACAGTGCCTTTCTGAGAAATATGCAACCTATTCTGACTGACTTCCTTCTTTACTTTAAAGAAAAAGTGAGTGAAATTGTCTTTGGTAACTTCAGTAAAGAAATTAGGTTTAGAGAAACCAGCTGATCCTGTGAAAAATGATATTAGCTAAAAGAAACATAATGGGCAAGAATCAGTATCTATTAAAAAATACTTTGTGGAAACTTTTTTCTGAATGCATACTTGATGAGCCAGTTCAAATTCTGGATGTACTTTTCAAATTTCAACTGTCACTTATTTATTACTATAATTAACAGTTTCCTGCATGGCTCGAATGGTTTTGCAATCGTTGTGAAATATAGTACAGTTTGCACTTAAACTGTCTCTGGGTTTGTTCCAAAATGTCCTAACCATGGTGAAATCTACTTCACTGTGCTCCCAGCTCTGTTTCTTTTATTATAGAAGCAGCAATCAAATAAAAGCTGTTTTAAGATCTGATACTGCTTCCTTAGGTTTGATTCAGTTTAACGAGTTTCCACGTGTGGGGGAGTCCAAAACTAAAGGTCATAAATTTTGAAAATATCACTAATAAATCCAATCGAGAATGCAGGAGCCTTACACAGAGTAATTGGAACATGGAACAGACTGCCACAAAGGATGGCCAAGGCAAATAGTGCAGATGCATTTAAAAGAAACATGCAAACGACGGAGAAGAAGCAACAAAGGCTAGCCCAACCATCAATATACACAACTTGTGAACCAATAAAACAGAATTAGGACTAATAATCCATTGTTTCACGATTAAAGTGATGCCACCTCCCATGCATTCTGGATTATGTGCTCTGTATTCTATTAGATTTTATCAATGTATTAAAATCCATAAGAGATTGTATGTTCAATGAGAGAAAATGCCTCACACTTTCCGGCTTCTTAAACACACAGAAAGCACAGTGACTCGATGGCTAGCAATGCTACCTCACAACACCAAGGACCTGGGTTCAATTCCACCCTCAGGTGACTGTGTAGGTTTCTTCCAGGTGCTCCAGTATCCTCCCACAGTCCAAAGATGTGCAAGTTAGGTGGATTGGTCATGGTAAATTGCCTGTAGTGTCCAGGGATGTGAAGGTGGATTAACCATGGGAAATGCAGAGTTACAGGGATAGGGTGGGATGTTCTTTGGAGGATTGGTGTGAACTGAATGGCTTGCTTTACACTGGAGGGATTGTATATATTCTGTCTAATATAGGATACATGTACCATGGCTTTTTTTTTAAATTTTTCTATTTTTGCCTTAAATACAGGAGTATTTGGAACTTTTGGATACCCTTCTTTGCATTCACTTCATCAGAATTGATGGGTGGAAATCCCATTGTGTTTCCTTTAGATTCTTCAAATTATTCAGGTTAGATATTTTTATTTCTTAGAAACTCAAGCATCCTTCAATAACTAGATAGAATTTACAACTTTACACACCCGGTTTGAGGTTTTGACCATCAAGAACATATCTAGGCATAGAGATCTGAATGCCTGAGAAAATGTAAGCCATGGATCTGTCTACAAGTAGTTATCCATTGCCTTCAAATGAAAAAGCACATAACTGGAACTCAGGTAAAGTCACGTTGGAGTAGACAGGATACCTGCCAAGTCAACGAGCTGCCTTATACTCACTATTTAGATTCAGAAGTGAGGAATACTGGTTTAGATTATGTGGTTGAGGATGGCATACACTTATGGAACCAATATCTGCTGTCAGTCAATGGTTTTAAGGCAGGATGGGTGGCAAAGTAGGCATCCTCTTTCTGCCATAGGATAATCCCCAAGTCAGGAACAAGAATGACCTATCAATAGTCATTTTATGATCCCATCAGCATTTCACTAGTAGGAATACTCTTCCTTTATTACTCTGCCATGGTGGGAGTCCAACAGCTTCAAAGAGGTGACCTCTCAATGTCTTCCCAGGGATAGAAGGTCAGTGGATCGGGTCTTCACTGTGGATGAAAGACAACTTCCAACAGAATAACCATCTATGTATCTCTGCAGCTGGAGCAGGAGAGTAAACCTCTACCATTGCTGGGCCAGCCTTAATATCACCTTGTATGCCTCAGCAAATTGTTAAAGGCAGACTTGAAATGCAAATTGTAATTAAATATCAACTTTCCTTAATCTCCATATGATACTACTGTGCATTAATATGCCAATGTTGAGTTCATGGAATCATAAAATGGGCCCAGTACAGAAGGAGGCAATTCGACTGTCCTATCTGCACCAACTTTTCTGCAAGAACAATTCAGCTATTCCATTACCCCCTCCCCCATTTTCCCTGCAATTCTGCAAATTCTTTTATCCTCAGGTCCTTATCCAATTCTCTTCTGTCAGTTGTGCAGGCATCTTCTAGATTGTCACAAAATTCAGAATGAGTTTGCATGATATGTTGTGTATTGCTGTGTAAATATAGAATATTTGGATGAAAGAGATCCATAGAATCCCTACAGTGTGGAAACAGGCCCTTCGGCCCAAAAGTCCACACCAAACCTCAGAGCATTCTACCCAGACCCACCCCATCTACACATCCCTGAACATTATGGGCAACTTAGCATGGCCAATTCACTTAGCCTGCACATCTTTGGACTGTGGGAGGAAACTGGAGCACCCGGAGGAAACCCACGTAGACACAGGGAGAACGTGCAAACTCCACACAGACAGTCACTTGAGGCTAGAATCGAGTCCAGGTCCCTGGCTCTGTGAGGCAGCAGTGCTAACCACTGAGCCATCATGCCGCCCTTTTTTCATGTTGTTTTCTCCAACATGCAGCTCAGAAAGACCTGCAGGGCCCAGTTAGTAAAAGAGAATTAATGAATTTGCCATAGAAATATCATGATATTCACAGTTGCAATTATAAATTATTTCCTTCTCAATTATTCAAGTGATTCAAGTGGCTGTGCTGGAGGTGTTGTAGGGTACAGGAACATTTTCTGAAAGCAAACATATGCTATTGAGAGTACTTATTGAATGTGCACTGTTGTACAGAGGGCAATGATTTATAAAAATCTAATATCCAGCTGAGCAGGAAATCTTCAACATTATTTTTCATGCAGATTGTTTCACAAGAGCACCCCAGAGGTACTACTATGCATTTGTGGGAGATCCCTTTGAATTGGCATGTGAACCTGATTATCTCACTCATGACAACTCCATACACTATGCGAACGAATCATTATGGTACAAGCAACACATGGAAGTGGATTCTGAAAACATAAGTGGCTGGCGTGAAGTTATTAATCAGAGAGGAAAGAACTTTTCACTTTCCTCAATCAGCACTGCTGATTCTGGCACTTACCTCTGTTTTCTCAGGTATGGGAATTAATCTTAAAGTTCTGAGATCCAACCCATCAGTACTCACCAGTAGGTTTTTTAACATTCTGTTATAAATCAGATTTTCTGAAAAATGATTGCAGTTTATGTCATACCAAGTGGAGCTTAAATACATGTCAAGGAAATTAAGCACAATATATGACCTTTCCCGTTAATCACAATTTGACAGGTTTGTTCCCGATTACAGTCTGCAGAAATCATTAAGTGTCAATAAAATATTCCCAACGTGAGTTTTAATGGAGAGGGAAATTCACCCTTGTGCCAATAAAGAGCTAATGGGAAGCTTGCTGGGAGACTTTCATAAATGAAAAGAGGACCTGCAGCAATTTGCAGAAATAAAGTAGAGCCTAAAATAGCTGCAAACGTGAAATTCTTTCAACAGATGATAATTATAAGGTTCCAGGCTTTACAATAGTGTGTAGGGCTAAAGCTTAGAGGGTTTGGGGCTCACAACCACCAGATGGAAAGCCAATGCTAGACCAGTGATACCCCTCTTTGAGAAGGATCACTGAAACACACAACCGTCAGGGAATGCTGAGGACACTTCTAGTCTTTCCCCAGGAATCAAGACCCCTGGAGCAGAAGGTCTACCTAGTGAGGGTAGTAGTCAATCAGAGCAGTACTTTGCAGGCAAGTGCAACGCTAGACATGAGCAGGAGCATTCAGATACACACCATATTGCTTCTTCCAGAATAAAAAAAATGAGCCCACCCCCTTATACCCATGCGTGCCAGTACATTTATCTCTCTGATAGTCTTAACAAATAGCAACCATCCATCGATAAAGTGAGGCCAATGTAATGTGAAGTACTTCATAAATGAAATTTAATTTTGAAAGACACCTGTGTTACTTTTGTGCTCTTATGTTAATGGCAATGGAATGGGGCAGATAACTTGCAGCTGTAATGAAGATCCTCTCTGTTTGTCCATGACGTTCAGTTAAGCCCATCCATAGCTGCTGTTTTTTTTAAACTGACAGTGTCTTTCATCACTGAAAAGGTTCAGCCTCCGCCAAATCACACATGTCTCCCATGCATGCCACCAGAATGTTACATTTTTATTGTAATTGTTTGAGAAATGCAACAGCAAGAGTGGAAGTGACAGATACCACTGGTTCCACTATTGGGAATTGCACATCTCTGTCAGAATTCCCCCCATGGTGGGTTTTTGGAGGGGGGAGGGTTGTAGGAGAAGACATTCAATGATTAGGGCAGTGGGCACGTTGTGGAGTTTGGTGGAATGGAGTTTGTGGTGGCCAGGAGGGTATGAAGTGAGTGGAGACAGGAAGGGCAGGAATGGAGGTTTGTGAAGACCATCACAGAGTTAGGGAAACAGAGCTAATGCAGGTGCGGAGGCTATGGGGAGAAGGGTCACACAAGTCACAGACTCAGGGAAGTTTACTGTGTTAGCTTATAGAAACATAGCAACTCAGGAATATAGGAACAGGAGTAGATGATTTAGCTCATGAGCTTGTACCATATTGAAAGAAATGATGGTTGACCTGTGGCCTAACTCCATAGGTCTGCTTTTGCGTCAAATCCCTTATTACCTCTGCTTAACAAAATTTATGTTCCTCAGATTTAATGTTGACAACTGATCTAGCATCTACTGATGTTTGTGGAAGGGATTTCCAAATCTCTATCACCCTTTATGTGTAGAGATGCTTCCTAGCATCCCTCCTCAATGGTCTGGCCCTAATTCTCAAACTATGTCCCCTACTTCTAGAATACCCAACAGGTGAAAATAGTTTATCTTTATCTACCTTGTCATTTCTGGTTAATGTCTTGAAGACTTCGATCAGATCACCCTTAGCCTTCTAAATTCTACAGAAAACAGTTTCGACTTGGAAGAACTATTCTTCCTTCCCCTAGCCAAAGCATTGTTGTAAAGACACTCAAACAAACGTAATATGAATGCTAAAGATTGGAATTAGAAAACAAAAGTGCTGGAGAAATTCAGGAGGGCTGGGAGCATCTGTAGAGAGAGAAACAAAGTTAATGTTTCAAGTTTGTTGAGACTCTTCTTTAGAACTTTGTTTCCTGCTCCATGGAGACTGCTGAGTTTCTCCAGGATTTTGTATTTTTTTTAAATGGATGCAGACTCTCTCTCCTCTATTTAACCAGCTGAGTGTCCTGTTGAGATCTCTTTTCTCCTCCCCAGAGGGAAAGCAGAGAGTTAAGTATGTTAGATTTTTTGTGTGTGTGTGTGAAGAGATGGGAAACACATCATTTGAAGACGATGACTGTGAAGAACAGATGTGTGATGGTACAAAGCTGAGGGGGGAGTGTCGGCTGTTGGGAATGTGAAGAATGAGAGGAATGGATGGAGCTGTGAGATGTATTGGTGTAAGCAGTTCTGGTCAGGAGAAGGCTGGGAAAGTCTGAGTTCAGAGGGTGACAACTGCAAGTATTCTCTCACTCACCACTCCTGCCTTCCTGAATCCTCCAGATCACTGTTCCTATGATGAAGGGATCCCACTGTTTCCACACTTGGGAGATGTCACCTCATGCAGAACCCACTTCAAGACCTCCAGGTAAACCTGAGAGACCCTGAGCAGTCTTTTCAGTTGCCCTCCTATTGCTGTGATTCTTGCTGTCCATGAATCCATATCAAGCTAAGACTTCCTGACTCAGTCGGAGGGTAACTTTGATTAGGAATCTTTCGTTGATAAATTTGGTATGCCATCTCTGAAGTTAAAATGCAAAAGACAAGCCAAAACATTTACAGTCATATTCACCCTTCTTCAGAGGCTCCCAGCCTCACAGATGCCAGTCTTTAGCCAATTTGATTCATACCACATAATATCAAGAAACAGCTGAAGACACTGAATTCTGCAAACACTGTAGACCTTGATTACATTGCAACAATATGACTGAAGACTTACACTCAAGAGCTAGCCATGTTGCTAGCTGCTCCAGTACAGTGGCAGCACTGGCATCTGTACAGCAATGAGGAAACAATCCCAGGTATATCCCGTGCAAACCAATGTCCTGACTTGTCCCTTCCTGAAGACGATGCAGCAAGGTGAGCATCCTTTTCAGGCTAAAGTCAATAGCAACTCTATGAAGACTCAAGAATTCCCATACCTTGGCACTTGCTAACCTGCAAATAATTTCACAATGTTTAAGGAAGTGGGCCATATTCCTATGAAATGGGTTACTTTTCTAATCAAGCAACTGAACAGTCCATTAATAGCTTCTATGCAGAGTGATGGATTTCCAGGTGTCAGATACTTAAATGACTGGTGAAAAAAAGTACTGATTAAGAAACAAAAGCAATCCAATAAATACCATAATCCTTTGTCATTTGACTTAAATCTGCTTGTGTTTAATCAACAGAAATACTTGTTTCAAGGTTTATGTATTAGTTGTACAGACTCAGAATGGAACAGACTGTCAAGATGCTGGAAATTGTGAAGTTCTCCTAATTCAGAATACTGCAAATATAATAACATGTCCAGGAATTCAACATTTCAATGCCTCAACAAGATCTCCTGTAAAGTGGTACAAGGTAAGTTGCTTGCATCAGGAATATTTGAAATGATGCTTTATTCTGGTTATAGATGACCACACTTGGGGAGGAAGATCTGAGAAGAATTCAAATTTTGGAGACAAGAATTCAGAGAAATTAAAGCCCAATTAATCAAAATTAAAATGTAATGTTTCAAACACTCACTAGAAAACAAAAGAGAAATTAAAGCTCGTTTATTTTTGTTTGTCTACAGTTGCTGAAAATAATGCAGGAAATGGAAAATAGTGTGTTAGTTATACTGATTGATTAGTTATGCAAGAAGACAGCTATGATGTTAAGTAATCTTAACTAGATGCTAATGCAGCAGTGTAACTGACTTTAGGTTTTCTGGATTAGAGGAGAGGGAACATTCATTATTATCCAATAATTTATGCTAATAATTCCAATACAAAATAAGGATACACTGCAATGATGGAGAAACCTAGCCCCATTCCCTGCCAGGATCATGCTACTCATTTGAATGAGGTACTGAATCATTGTTGATGCTGTGGAATTATATTCCAGTATAATTCAATAATTGTACAAACAGGTAAAACAGAGTTTACAAGACTAATATTTAAAATTTCAAAGTAATGCTTTGGAGTTTGATAACTTGTCTTGATTTGGTGATCGTATACCAGTCTGTAGGGGGTATGTGTTATTGACTGCTGCATTTGTTTGACCACTTGGTTGTCTTGCTGCTGGTTGCTTATACTCAACGTCGCCACACAATCATCTTTGTCAGAGTGTTCTGCTTCACTCTCGCTGTGAATGATTGGTTAGCTGTACACCAGTCCGAACTGGCTCCTGTTCCATCCTTTTCATGTTCAGTAAAGACTTTGCATGATCTGAGTGGTTGAACTTTTTTAGAAACCTTTGCTGTTATGCAAATGTTTGTATTTGTACTTCTAACTTTCACTCTCTGTCCAATGCATAGCTTTGTCAGTTGTCTATCTGCTCACTCATCACGTGTCTCTCTCATTTTCCTCTGTGTTTGAAGAAGAAGGTACTGTGTCTAGGATGGTTAGACAATTGGTTGCTGAGCAACATAGTTCGCACTTGCCTTCTGAGTATAAATTGTGTGGGAGATGGTAATCTCTTCTCCATTGGTGTTGCATGAAAATGCAGCAATGCAATGTGAAAATCTGGTTTTGTTCCCTGATACTTAATGATTATTCATATGATGGCACGTACCATATACTCTGCTGTACTGTTGAAATGGTGCCAGTGGGGTAATGATATGATTATGGGTCACTCCCCACTTAGTACATGCCTTCAAACTGTTTGCCAGCATATTGTGGTCCATTGTTGGACATTATCTGATTTGAGACACTAAATGAACTGTAAATATTGCTCATTGTATCAACGACAGTCATGCTTGTTGCTTTGCTAAGTTGTCAAATACAGGATAATACAGAGAAGTAGTCCATAAAGCATCCTAAGCCTTCCAGCTGTCTGCTTGCACTGCACTGGTCTTGTGTCCCAACTCGAGAGTGTGCATCGGATATTTTATCCCTTTTGCTTTGTAACTGAGGCAAGGTTAGAAATTTGGGTCAAGACAGTGTGGAGCTGGAGGAACACAGCAGGTCAGCAGCATCAGAGGAGAAGGAAAGTCAATGTTTCGGGTCGATTTTCCTGCTCCTCTGATGCTGCTTGACCTGCTGTATTCCTCCAGCTCCACACTGTGTTGACTCTGACTCCAGCACCTGCAATTCTTGCTATCTCTGAAGCTTAGAAATTTCTTTTTATCTTAAAAGAACTGACATTCTAATCCTACGCTCCAGTGAAATAAGTTCCAGCCTATCTAGCCTTTCCTTATAACTCAAATCCTCTATACCCAGCAACATCCTGGTAAAGTTTATAGGTGTGAGGCTGGAAAAGCACAGCAGGACTGACAAAGGATTTTGGCCCGAAACGTTGACTTTCCTGCTCCTCCGATGCTGTCTGACCAACTGTGCTTTTCCAGCCTCACAACTATAGACACTGGCTTCCAGCACCTGAAGTCATTGTCTCCAACATCCTGGTAAATCTATTCCGAACCCTCTCCAGCTTGATAATATCCTTCCTATAACTGGGTGATCAGAACTGTACACAGTATTTCAGAAGAGGCCTCATCAATGTCCTGTACAACCTCAACATGACATCCCAACTCCTTTACTCAAAGATTGAACAATGAAGGCAAGTGTGCCAAACGCCTTTTTAATCACCCTGTCTATACGTGCCGCAAATTCTAAAGAATTATGTACCTGCACCCCTAGGTCCCTCTGTTCTACAACACTACCCAAGGCCCTACCGTTAATTGTATAAACCCTACCCTTGTTTGTTGTACCAAAATGTGATACCTCACATTTATACAGGTTGAAATCCATCTGCCATTTTTCAGCCCATTGACCCATTTGATCACAATCCCTTTGAAATCTTAGAAAACCTTCTTCACTGTCTACAATGCCACCAATTTGATGTCATTCGCAAACTTACAAACCATAACTTCTATATTCGCATCCAAATCATTTATGTAAATGACAAACAAAAGAGGACCCAGAACTGATCCCTGCGGAACACCACTGGTCGCAGGCCTCCAGCCCGAAAAGCAAACCTCCACTATTACTCCCTGTCTCCTTCTGTTAAGCCAATTATACTTTAAAAGTGCTTATATTTTCAAAAGTACTTTAGCATGTCTCACGGTTATGAAGGGCACTATATTAATGCAATATTTGTTTTTTTCTTCCTGAGCTTGTTTTAACATAGATCTCACAGGTAATCAAGCTAGTAATCACACAGTATACTAATTCTCTGCCCTTGCGAATTTATGCAGATTCACTAATATTGATAACAGCACAGCACTGTAATTACACTGTAATGCCCACACTGTAATTACACTGTAATCTCCTGTTATTTACGATTGGCTTTAATTTCTTTCAGAATAAAAAGATATTTGAAGAATATATTGAACGAGTATCTCTCAAGATAAAAAATGGACAAATTAATCTAAATAGAATATATGAATCTGATGCTGGTATTTACACATGTACCTTTAAGTTTGTAGAAAATAATATCAAATGGGTCGTGAAAAGAACATTTACAGTAAAAGTTATAGGTAAGTCAAAAGATTATAAATTATCTTGAATTGATTTGTTTTGTGCTTCTTCTGCTCACCTGCAGAAGTTTAATATGCTCACCCACTCACGTTCCATCATCTACACTCAAACACCAATCAGCATTATGGGTCAACACTTTGAGGAGGAAGCAGAAAGGAAGGAAATCAGAACTTCTTAAAAATCTAAATTCAATATGTGACAAAAACTTTCCATTTCTGAACAACCCTTCCAATGTCCATTGGGCACAGTGGAGTTTCAATGGTGAAAGTTCTGCGATAAGCAGTGTAGTTTTTTTCAGTTTGTTTTAACCTCAGCTAAGCCTGAAGGCTGTTTGATATAAAATGCAATATATTTTTCTTTAATCTTGGAGTTGCAATTAGGAAAGGTTTTCAAAAGTATAAGAAACAAAAACCTTTGAGCTGCTTCATCTCCAATAGAGAGAAAGCAAAGTCCTCTTAGTTAAGAGAAACAGATCTTTTGGTGCTTAAGATTAAAGGTTAATGATCACATAGTTTATCTGCCTGGTCATTCAGGTTACAGTTAAACCATTTCTGGCCAGGACACAGTTTAGAGTCACTCTCAGGAAAAGATTTACTGTTTAATGTTAGAATGAAAATCAATACTCAGCCCAGGATCACATGGACTGAAACTAGCCTACAGAGACTTACCATTGCATGATCAGCACTTAGGCATACGCTTTAATAAATTAGATTTGTAATCCCAGGATACATTTTCAAAGCTCTTTTCAAGGCATGGGGTCCCATCTGACTGAAAAATGAAACTGAGATTTGACCATGGACAGTAGCGCTCAATTTTCTGGTGATTCATTTTAATGCTTAATTCCATATCCAATTCTTAGCTATCCTCTAAACAAGTGAGACTCTACACCAAGAGCAAAACCTTTGACATTTACCCTCTATTTCATGTGGACTGGACTGGAATTAGATGAGAGGTCATTTACCTAAGTTATTGAACACCTGTGGTATATGCAGTTTGCCAAACTTCAAACTCCTCTCAGTGAGTCTACTGCAGGAAAGCTACTCTAGGAAATGTTTTTTTTCTTTTCCCTGCAATATTCTTCTGTGTGTAGGCATGGTACCTCCATGCTAGCTGATACAATCAGCCATGCTATTCAAAGCCACTGCCTCTGCTTCTCATGGGGCCTGTCTGTACATTGGTATTCTAATTTACCAACACAGCAACAATGACTATGGTATGAAAAGTAACTCACTTAAAACATGTTGAAGATGTGATAAGAATCTATGTAAGTGCAAGTTAATGTTTTCAAAGCAGACGGAACATATGTTTGTGGTTATGTTTGTGGATCTCAATAATCAGGTTGTGGTTCAATTTTCACCCTTCCTTCTTAAGGTATACACATACCAAAATAGGTCTTCGAAGTGCTGTTGCTAGTGACTGGGGAGAAATGGTCTTGTAATGTGCCACTCCTGCATTTGCATTGACCTAGGCATCATGGCTTACAGCTGAACTATGTTGTCTTAGCCCTGCTGATTATTTCATTATTTATAAACACACTGTTTCATTGTCAGTTGTGTGAATGATAAATCAGGAGTAATAAAAGTCATCTAGAAACTCTATGGGCAGGATCTTATGACCTTTTGGTTAAGTGCAAGTTGCATCATACGTTTTGGAGGGAATTCCACTATGAGGCATCGTGCGTTCTCTTGTCATTTCTTTTCAAACACATCTCATCAGGGACCTACCCTGCTCCTGTGGCATGCCTTATGTCCAACCCCAGCCCCATCTTACCTCGTGCCATTCCTGAAGCAACTCACTACTCACCAATGAACATTCACTGCACAGGGAGAAACGGGAATGGGACACACTAGCAGTGCAGTGAGTCATGCCATCAGTTGGTTGCCCCTCCATGAACAGGCTAGCAGGTCCAACGAGAAGCCAAGGCCAGCACCCTCAGAATCCGCTGAACAGATGTTGAAACCTGCACTCCATCACTCCAGCCATCTGGTCCTCAGCTCTGAGGAGGAACCACACTCACGCGGAAATGATTCTTGGAAGCTAATGCTGAGGAGGGTCCAAGTGTCTCCAAGGCCTATGGCTTCATTGTGGAGCAGGACTCCATCCAAGCAGCAGAATCTTGGACAACGCTAGGACGTTAGTGGGAGTGAAAGTCTTCTGAGGGCACTTTCATAGCAGGGGTTACAGTCCACTGTTGCCATGTTTGCATAAATTTTATTTGCACTACATCTGTCACTGTAGCCTCCAATGTAACTGTGCCATCACAATGCCTCACTCTATGCCCACAGTGGATGTACCATGGGTCAATGTTTGAGTTGAGAGCGCTGTGAAAGGAGCACGAACAAGCAGTACATAAGGGCAAAGTGTTTTGTCGGCACCACTACCCTTCATGGTCAACCATTTCTGTTCTTTCCCTGGCTTCTGTGGGCACCTGCCCACCTTCACCCCAACTAAGTGTCCATGACACATGTGGTCATTTCACTGCCCCTGCCATCCCTTGAAGGCCAGGATGCTGCTGACCATGGCAAACTTCCATCCCACATGATCCCTCCCCATCCAATATTGTTGCCCATTTCACTCTCATCCCTTATCAGCCTCAGCCTGTACCCATCAGTCCAAAAGAATAACATTCTGAAGTTCCTTTCTGAGGTATGGTCCCACTAGTGAATCCCCCAGCCCCTTTCCCCTTGGTTAATGTAAAGGTCCCAACAGATTGACCATGACCTACTCGATTGAGTGATCAGACAGGACAACATGAGACAGAAAGAGTCCAGACCTCTGACTGGAGCCTGTACAACCCCTTGACCATGTTAGTCCTACCTCCACCAGACTGACTGTTATGGAGCCATGAGTTTGACCATGAGGAGGCAAGAATCCCCTGACGGAGAACATCCCAACTGGAGACTTGGCCACGGCCAATCCCTGGAATGGTATGGGAGGCTGCCCCTGACTTACTGTGTTGATGACGGTTGACTCCATGGATTTCAGTGATGAAAAGTGGGGCAGTCAGAGCACCAAAAGTAAGATTGCCCCAAACCGCTGACATTACCTTGACTTTAGAGTGTGTTCATGCTGAATGGGAAAAAAAACACAATTGGCAAGAACATATCCAGAAGCAGCAACGATTTTAGCTCGGGGAATCTCTTTGAGACACCCCTGAGTCTCGTTGAGACGGGGGTGCCTTCAGAGTACCTGCACAGACAGATTCAGCATAGAACGAAGCATTGTTAGGATTGTCAGCTCGGCGTGGCAGGTTTGCAGCCTGGTATGGTGGACTCTCGCCACAGCATTGGTATTCTCTCGACCAGGAGGGGTGATCTCTCAGTGGCCCAACGTGGTGATCTCTCAGCCCGGCCTGGTGGTCTATCAGCAGTACGTGGTGGTCTCTTGGCCTGGCATGGCCTCAGTGTGGACCTCTGGTCTCGAAGTACAGTCCCACCGTGACTAAGCGCTTACGAAAGACTGTAATGTTTGAACTTTCAGCTTTATTTCTTTATTTTCTACTTAAAATTAAGAAGGTCTGCAATGTGTAACTTTTAACCTTATTGTGTATGATCTATGCTATACTATAATTACTGTAATGTTTAACTTTTAACTTTGTTCTTTCTTTCTACCTTGCTCTGAAGATTCTGTACCCAGGTACTTGTACCTATGATGGCGCCTTGTGTGGTGACATTGTACACTTTTCACTGTACTCCTGTATTTTTGTACTTGAGTACGTGTGACAATAAAATCAAAACTGAAAAAATCAAAATCAAATCCCCTAAGAAGGTGAGAAATGGATACCTGCTGCCCATGTTATGTGTTTGCCAAGTACAATGCTGGCACATGTTGCAGTTGTAAGATTGGTGTAGCACACTAATGTATAACAAGACGTGTGCCCCCTTGACTGAGGACTGCTGACCAGCAAGGCAAGAGGCACTGTCCTATAACTCTGCTAATGGGCAATGCAGGGCCAAGCAAGGCAAGACAAGAAAGGATGTTGCCAGCATGTAGATTGGTGCAAAGTGAGTGAGAATTAAGAGAGCAAGCAAGTGGCCCTGAGATATTAGGCTGGTCCAATCTCTGAGCTGGGTGCCTGTCCCTCTGTGCAGAGATGGCCCTGCTGCAGCCTTTCAGTGCTTGTTGCCATACTCCCTGAGCAGCCTGCAAATGGATTTGAGAGTGCCATGATGATCATGAGGGGTTGGTGAGTGCTGATGCCAACGTCTGTGGTTGAGGTATGAGGCTCTGGCAGTGAATCATGCCCCTGAGATCCTGTTTGAACCTGAGCAACACGGAGGTCCTTTGGAGCAAGTGGTGAGCTGAAGTTGCCAGGTAGCTACCCTGAGCTCCATGTTGACATTTCTCGACATCTAGCTTGTTGTTGTAGCTCTAGACTAGTTTATGGTTTCGCTGTTTCACTGTCCATTCCATACTCCAAGCAATCCTTGATTCCAATCCAATCTTGCATTCTACAAACTGCCTATGGCCCAAACCGTTCATTCTGGAATCCAACATTACTAAAATTCCACATGGCCTTAGTGCTGAGGTTTCTGGATTTGAGTTAGCGTATCTTTATTAATCTTTTAACTCACTGTGAATTGTCATAAAGTTGTACAAAAGTTTAGGAGTTTCTTATTTTTTGAATCACTGGTGCTTAATTGCTTGATACTGCAGTGGCATCAGAGAAGTAACTTATTTAAACATTACTTATGCTGAAATAATTTAATATTTTTCTGTTCTTTGATTTATAAATTATGATTCCATCTCATTGTAAAACGTAAAATATTTTATTTGGAGTTAAATGATACTGAGACACACAACTGAAGTCTGTGCTGTAACATTGGGGAATGTCATGTGTACAAATGTCATGAGATTACACATTGTGTGGGTGGTTATCATGTAGTTGAATCCCATTTCTTCAAGGGTTCTATATTAAATCTTCAGAAAGTTGGAATCCCACACTGAAATGAAATTTACTTTTATGTATCATAATGTCTGAAAGTTAAATGATTGAGCA